CCCCCCCCTTACCTCCACGCTATTCGCAGGGGACACCCATTAGGAGCGTAATTCCAGCGTTTAATTAAGCAATCGCCTGGTCGTGGAGCTCTGGAGCCCCCGTGGAGGTCTCGTGGAGGTCTCGTGGACATCTTGTGAAGGGCTCGTGGAGGGCCGTCTCTCGGGGAGGGAAGTGCCTTTGATTAGGGGGGCAGTGAGGGAGGGGTGCTGGAGGTGGCGTGGTGAGGTGGGGCGGGCAGGGTGGGACAAGTGGCAGGTTTATAGAGAGCTGCTCGTTGTTTTGGAGGCTTGCGTTGGTGTCATGCGCCTCTCCCCTGCCTCCAGTTTTTTTTGTGTGTGTGTCAGAGGCAACCTAGCTGCGCGCGCGCGGCGCAAGTTGGCGGCACAAGTGTTGTTTCTAACGGTAGTTTGCCCGCGTGTTCCTGATCGTGACTTGTGGCGGTGTCCTCGTGCGTACTCGTTAGGGAGGAAGCGGCCCGGGCCGGGCCCGGGGCCGCCTGCCAGGCCTTATCTGTGTGCGGGAGCGAGAGAGACGGCGATATAGGCGATAGCGCGGCGCGCGTCGCTGCGGGACAAGGAAAGGAGATAAGGCAAGGCAGGAGGGTGGAGAGAGCCAGGGGGAAAGACCTTCGGAGTCGAACGCGTCGAGCAGCAGCGGGGGAGGCGAGGCGAGGGTGAAGCGGGAGCTGCGAGCACATCCCCCCCGACAGACAGGAAGTCCGGGAGCGCGCCGGGGTCTTATTAGTTGGACACAATAAAAATTTAAATGAGCGACGCAGGAGAGGTCCCCGCCTCTCCCTTTCTCTCTCTACCAAAACTGGGTCGCTCCGCGCCTCACCGGCACGCAGAAAATGATATTAGGACTACATTAATGCTGCCTTTATCATTTTTCGGACACCCCTCCCCGACTCTTCCCCTGCCCCTCTCTCCTTCCGCGCCATCATCATCCGCCTGCTTAACTTTTGCCCGCTGAATCGCGAGGCCCCCATAAGCCGGCACACCGTTTCCAGCCAGCCAGCCAGCGGCGGCTCTCTCCGTAGGCCTTCAAGGTGAAGGTGCTCTCTCTCGCCCGCTCTGCTCTCTCGCCCCGTGGTACTCCGATCCGCCCCCGGGCTCGCGAAGAGGATCCTACCGGGCGGCCCCCGGCGCCGGGACCGCACCGGACCCACCCCCGGAGCAGGCCCTGCCGATGGTCGTATCAAATTACCAATGAGGGATCGGCCGTAAACGAGGCAACGCCCCGGGGCAGTCTGCAAACTATATCCACTGCCGGGGAGAGGCTAAAAAAAATTGCTTCCCCCCCGTTTTCTGAGGAAGAGGCGGATTGGCGAGGACGGGGTGAGAGGGGGGGGGGGGATTGAGTGACGGAAAGAACACAATGGGAGAGAGCGCGGAATGAAGCCAATCACACAGTTGAGCGGAACGGAGACAGAGCAGATGCGCAAGCGTTGCCGATCACTCGTGCAATAAATCACACAAAGTCACTTGCAGCCGCTCGGAATCCCATATCTGCCCCCCCCCTCTCTCTCTCTCTCTCTCTCTCTCT